AAAGGAAAGGAAAGGAAAGAAAAGAAAAGAAAAGAAAAGAAAAGAAAAGAAAAGAAAAGAAAAGAAAAGAAAAGAAAAGAAAAGAAAAGAAAAGAAAAGAAAGAAAAGAGAAAGAAAGAAAGAAAGAAGAAAGGAAGGAAGGAAAGAGAATGAAAGAAAAAGGAAAAAGCCCTGACACTATCTTAAGTTATTTCACACGGCATAACCTCCTTTTCCTCTGTAACTAGGCCATCTGAAAAGACCAAAAGCACTTTTTCTCCAAAACCCCGTTATAAATGCTGATTAACATTGGTTTTGAAAGAAGGATGATATGGACAGAGGATAATGGTGAGAATAGAAGAGGGAGAGCAGTTTCTTTTATTAGCACATATCAAGATGAGCTATGGGGAGAAACCAAAAGGAAAAAAAAGATCGTTTACTTTCTTTACAAAGACTGTTGGTAAAATTCCTAAGGGAGACTAAGTGCCAAAATTGTCTGTCTTGGTGTATTACTTTTAGACACTACTGCCTGGGTGAATTAAGTCAAATCTTCAAGCAGCAGCCAAAGATAGCTGCAAGCTGAAAAAGAGGCACTAGATTTCCTTGTTTTGTGGAGAAACTCGTGAATTTGTGGAGATTGTCTTTGCTCCAGGGTTTTTTTCATTTGTCTCTTTTTCACCTTCTGGGCTATTTTTACTATTTTATATTTGGCATTATAAATGTTTTTTGTAATGGGAAGGCAAAGTAAGAAGCAATTGTTCAGAAAAACAGAAAAGTAAAAAAATGAGATTACATCCATGTATTCCATATCTATTTCTATGTATACATACATGTGAGACATGTATACATATGTATGCAAGTAATATCAGTATTTTTCATTACTCTGTTCTCCAAAAGACATTATTCAGTAAAAGATAATAAACAGCTCTTGAACAGTGGAATATAGAATAGTGAAAACAGTTTACTGAAATTGATGATGCTGGATTGAACCAAACCTTCCCTTTGGAATTAGTGCCAGACATAGTTTTCCTGAACCCTGTCCAACTGCCTGAGCGACAGACAATTTTCATTCTATTTGTGCTAAAGGCTTATGACTAGTGCTGGAAAATGAAGCCCTTGCCCTTGATCTCAGTGCAGATTAAAAAAAAAAAAAAAAAAGGCAGAACTGTGCCAATTTGTTTCCTCTGCCAATAGAAGCCCTTGTGCTTTGGGTAATGCAAAACAATAAAAAGTTCACATGAAGACTCTCCATTGAAAGAAAACCCACCAAGAGCCATGTATCTTTGCTACATTCATCAGCCAGTTTCTGAGATTCTCACAATGTCAGCAAAATGCAGAGGGTAAGGACAGAAAATATTTACCAGCCAGCAATACTGTTTTCTAGTTCACGTCTCACTGCTATGCATTTGGTAATGATTGCTAAAAAATATCTCCACTGTAAATAACCACACTCTCCCTTCTGCTAACACTAATCTCCCCACACTCAGGTACTGCATGTAGATTTAGGGCTGTGCAGCCCCTGTTGTCCAAGCTGATTCTATTTCTAAGGGATGAAATACCCATTTGACATATACACCCTGAGTTATAAACAGTGGCTATACTGTAGTCCTGTCAGCCAGCTAATCTCCGATTGCTTTTCCCTAGATTATTAATAAAATTAGAATCCCAAGCAGAAGGCGTTTGCTTTCATTGTACAGTCTGCACTTGTGACATGGTACATGTGGAAAATTTTGAGTGCACTGCAGTGAATGGTCTGGGGGTTAGTTTTTAGCTTCCGCTAAGTACCTGGCAGGCTGCCACGGCTGAAGGATTCTGGGAACTGAAAGGCTCCCAAGTACAAACTGCCAGCATTAAGCAGTCCTGACAGCTCTGCTCCTTCCACACTTGGCAGCAGTTCAAAGTGCTCTTTCATTTGAAAGGCTGGAAGGCTGCCATGTGCAATGCAGATTTGCTGTGCCTGCTCTCATAAGGAACTGATAAATGCCGTTGCTGTTGCCATGGGGACAGGAGGCTATCAGAATGGCCTTGTGATCTGCAGCCTCTCAGCTCTGCAGGGTTTTTTTTTTTTCCGTTTTTTTTTCTTCCCTGAGATGGTGAAATAAATGTTCTAGAGAAGGTTAACTCTTGAAGGACAGGAAGCGCTGGTTTGAAAGGACAGGGTGAGCATCTGTCAGTGGCTCCTCCGAAGTGCTGGGAACAAGATTAACACATACCTGCCAACAGTGCCTATTTGGGAAGGACTGGCCCCAGGGTTGGGTTTTTTTGAAGGCCAGGAGGGAGGGAGGAAGGAGAAAAGACCTCCTTCTCCCCACTCAGTCCCTTCAGATTTCTCTTCCAGCTCAGAATCTCTCAACACAATTAAAAAGCTATCCCCTTTCTTCCCTTCACTATGCCTACATACAGTTTTCAGATGCTGGTGGAAATGAATTAATTTACCACTGGATCTTGTAACATGCCCAATGCCTTTAGCTATCATTAACATCACTGGACAGCTAGCAGGATTAGACCCGTTTTGTGGACTCTGTGTGTGGTAAAAGTGAGTAAAAAGAAAGAACAGTGTGATGTAAGACTGCATGTTTAAGAGCGATCTTAGTGACGATGCAAGTCCTGAGAGTGAATCTCAGCTTGTCCTAGTTCCCAAGATTAAAGTAAACACACCCTTGAGCTATGCACAGTCTGTGTGTGTGTATAAATGAGTGTGCACATCTACTTCTGTAGAGGTGTAGAAAAAATACAGGCAGACAATATTTTAGCCAGAATTTATACCACTTTCCCTAAGTCGTCTTTTTTTTTACTTGTTATTTCTTTCCATCTCCGCTACAGCAATAAATTTGCATTCCCTAAAGACATTTTGCTGCAGTCCAGTAAACTGAATTCTGTTTAACCACGGCAAAGTCAGAGCATGACATCATAGTGGGGAACAATGGAGTGCATCACTGCTCTCTCCCTCACCATGCAGCAAACTTCAGGGCAGCATTTAAAGAGATCGATATGGGCATGTGTCTATGTTTACAGGCACATATAAAATGCAACAAGCACTCAGACAGTGACATAAAACAGCAAAGATAAAGTATTGGGGGAATTTTATTTATATACTTGAGTGTTAGCAGTCTGAGAGCTTTTTTCAAAACCAGGAAAAAAATCAACCACCCTCCACATGAACAAATTCCCCCTTCCTTCTCTAAACATAAGTCTCTGCCTTTCAGAATTGTATACTTTTATCTTTCCAATATATGTGAATGGTATTATATGAAATGAAACATTAAAACTGAATAAACAGAATTTCAAACCAAATTCAACAAATAATCTGGTTAACCACTTGATGGTTAACCTGTAGCTTTTTAAAATAAACAGCACCACTCTTTCTTATTTTAGTTTCACTTCACTTTGATGTCACGTATTTTTTTACTGTATTCATTGTTTTAAAGCTTTTTGGTTGTGAATGGGTTACTCAAAAGTTTGAATGAAGAAAGTAGTCATTTGAAAAACATACAAGGCAGAATGTTTAAGAAGTAACACAGAAATACACGCTATATGTGTGTCTATACACACATACACACACACACATACCTTTTACCTTTTCTGAATTCTCTTTTAGTTTATGTTTTCAAACAACTTAAAGCATCTGTGATACTGAGTTTTGTATCTGACATCCAATCCTGCTGGTTAAAACAATCTGCATATGCAAATCGAGATAAAAGCTCTCTATATATGTGCAAAGTAATTTCAAAATTACAAACAAGGCTGCATTTCACAAGCCTTTTTACCATAATGAGCTAGGCCAAGGAAATATTTTTTCCTGACTGCTTGGGATTATTACTATTTTTTTAAATTAGGAAAAGAGTGAAGTTAACTGTAATTCTACTGTAATTTCTTTACCTGATTCTCTCTGGGTTCTTGCCTATGGTTGTCATGGTAATTTGATATTTCTGGCTGGCTCTCTACACATTCTGTTTGTCTCACTGGATTTCCTGATTATTCAGAAAACTCCTTTAAAAAACCCTCCCATTTCTCCCCCTCTGCCCCCATTCTGGGCTTAGTCCTGCTTTTTTCATTCCTTTAGCATAGAGGAATGTGTGTTATTTTGCTACAAATCTACTAAGGGGAAACTGTTTGCTCCACTTACCTGAAAATGGAGATAATGAGATAAGCATACATACTAGAGCTCTTCGTATATTATCTTCCATAGTCTATGACAGGGGATAGAGAGGAAATGTGGAAAGATAACTGCATGTAGATTTCTTGTAAAGTACTTGGATCTTAATCCTATAGATATTATTTAGGGTTTAACTGCTGCATTTCTGACAGCAGAAACATGTATTTAACTGTTGCCTTTTCAAATGTGACAGACACATTTGTACCTGGAGCGAGAGAGTTAGAACATATTCTCTTTATGTGACAGAATAGAAACATTATTTTTATTCAGGGGTTCAGGTGACAACTTATGCCAGAAGAAACAAACTGATCATGCTTTCAATGCACCAGAGAAACTCAAAGAAAAATGCACACAGCTAAGTAATATTTAGCTCCAGTGTGTAGTTACAAAAGGTTTATGTAATTGATATGTGCATATTTTCAAAGCACTCAATATTAGATTATGTATACAAAAATATATACATACATATTAGAGATGTATACATAATATATATGTATGAAGGTACATACACTTGCTTTTTTGAGGGCAGTGGTTCTTCCCTAGGCACTACATGATTTTGTGATGAAAGCATGGAGCTACCATATGTACCTATAGTTCATTTAAATAATTTGATGGAGTATTACACCTCATTACCTTTGCCTAGTCCTTGTACATTTAGCCTCTTTGCTCTTCAAGAACAGGTATGTATTTTACTGCTCTGGTCAATGCCTCATACAACTACACTGAAATCATTAGGGTCTCAAACAATTGTTTCAAGGCGAGTAATTCACCACCATTATGAGTCATAACTGAAACTACAGTCCAATTTATTACAATTTAGATCCAGTAATTTCCACTATACACTGCCTTTCCAATGTATCAATGAAATCTCTAATCCCCCTGGATTAAAAGTATCTGTATCAACTAAAAGTACCTGTATCAATGAAATCTACAAATTCTTTTGTGTGGCCTCTTTTGCTTACTTCTTCTTTCTTTTTCTCGTACTGGAAAGCACATTTGAGATTCCTTACTAAGTCCTTTTGATGGCAACATGCTGTGGAATCTGCTAAACTCAGTAAGCATTCCAGCTGTGACAGTCCATAATCTAGGACATCAGTGACATCATCTGACTGCCTGTGACATTGCCCTGTGAATTGCAAGATTAGGCAAGGTTGCTCTTGGTGTCACAGGTAGTATATGACATGTGACTGCAATGTTCACGCTTGATTTTAACTGTGAAAATGCTACTAAAATAACCCCTTGTACCTATAAATTTATTTGGATCTTTTTTCAACTGTACAAATCTTATTTTCTTCTGACTGTGATTTTCAAATTTGCATTTTCAGTAAAATAAAAATGACATATTTTATCCAATTCCTATGTAGGGTAATAAAGCAGCAATGAACGCATTTTCTCTTATGTGCTAAAACTCACATATTTCCCACTGCTACTCAGCAGAAGAAAAGATTTCAGTAAATCCCGTGTAGGACATCAAACGTTAAAACATTCTTAAATTTACTTTAAACTCCTATTTATTTTTGTATTTCTACAATGTAGACACTGCAGAAGCTCAACAGACCGTATTATACTTAGGAGAAAAATTATGGCCTCTCTCTTCTGAAAAGAAGACTGAGCAAGGCAATGGTCTATTTTACATTCTGCTAACACCTAATTATTTTTACAAAACATATCCAGTAGCATTTATTGTTTGAGCAATCATAAATATTTACAAAGAAATTATAGTCTTTAAAGAAACCTATATGCTGATGGTTTTTTCGTTTTTTAGAATGTTGTTTGTTTACATACCTGCTAATTCTTAAAATTCAGTAATCTGTAGTGATCTTACTTTTATTTGTGAAAATTAGCAAAATCTTGCTCCACAAATTATCAAGGCTTTGTCATGCAACTGTAATAGCTCAGCTATTTCTTTTTAAAAGTCAGTGTGCTCTAGTCCATTTTTTTATTACTGTTATCTTTAGTTCTATGAAGCCTTGGAGCATTTCCCAGTCTGGATCTATACAAACTTTCCCAGGAAAATGTATAAAGACCCTGTGTTCTGCTTTACTCTGTGCTCGCAGTGCCTATGTACTTTTGGTGAGCTAGGTCTTTGAAGACCTAGCCCATGCTTGGAGTCCAGTCAGGCCAAAATATTTAGCAATTGAGATATTTTATGATCCAGAATCTCTTTTAAACAAAGGTGTGGTTTAGCAGGACTGGCTGCTTCTGACCTCTTTCAGCCTCGTATTATTGCAGCTGCTATGATGTAAGGCTGAGTATGGTAGAGCTAAAGTAGCTGAGGCTCAGGGAAAGATGCTGAGAACAGCTGTTTTACTGTAAACATTAACAAGGGTTTGACTTCATTTGCAAGCTGGGAGCATTCACAGTTTCTGCACAAATAATATTTCAGGAATTTGTTCTAGATGTTCAGGGCACAAGGAAAGAAAATTATCCCTTCTATACATTACTGCAGCTTTGAATGAATCAAATTCTCTGCAGAGAGATGCATCCCATTAAAATCAACAGGGAATTTTTCACATTAATACACAGCTTCACACAGACGATACAGACATACACACAGGAAAAGAAGCAATACTTATCTGCTTTAGCTATTTCTAAAGCTTCTCTCACATTGGTATCTAAGTGCCAATTAGATACCAAAAATACTCAGTTGTAGCAGACACTGATGTCTGCTGATTACTATGGAGCTACAAACAGATTCCTATCCAAGAGGGCAGAGAGGGATTTGAATGCTTTCCCCTTAGCTCAGTGCTGCAATTCATGGATGTTAGGAAACAAATTTCAGACCTCATTTCCTTCATTACATTCTCGAGGTTGCTTATTCTGAAGCGAGTGAAAAATTTCAGTCAGAGTGACCTTTGGAGGGAGCGGGGGACATTCACTGACATCACACACATCTGCACGTGCACACACAGACATACGGGCCAGATCCTTCAGACACTGAAATCTATTTTTTTGCCACATTATCAGCACAATGGAGTCTGCAAGGCAGCTCAGCCAGCTACTTGCGCATCAGCCAGTGCAGATACGACAAAGCCTCAGCTGGTCTGCAGCCACTGCAAGGACTGCAATGGCTCTTCCTTTCCTGAGTCCTTGTGAAAGACATACAGTTTAAAAATGGCTGAGCCGAGCCTAGTTTTCATGGATCTCTAGTTACCAGACTAGTTTCTTGGGTCCAGTGGTAGCCAGTGCAAAATTCAGTAGCTCTGCTGGTGTTACAGTTTACACAAGGGAACACACTGTCAGGGAGACCAGACCCAGGATGATGCAAGGATGGCTTAAAGCTGCCTTTTCACCACCCTCTCTGAAGCCTGCCAAGACCTGCTTGGCCAAAGCTTGGAGCCTGGGCAACAGTCCCTATTTACAGACTCCTTCTAGAAACTCCCCATATTAAATATAAAGCTGTATAAATCCTCACTATCTTCCCCATTTGTTATTATTATGGTTTACAGGATAAGTAGCATAAACTGGTCAGCCCTTTGATAAAAAACTAAGGCAAACTTGGAATCCAGAAAGGCTTGTTAAAATTCATCACTTTCAGTGAAAATCTTGAAGGTGTGCCTGTGCTGTTGGATGTGGACCCGATTGGATATCTGACCTTTCTAATGTTCCCAGGACATTTACCACAAATCTAGAAGTACCAAATTTATTATATCTCTAAAATGCAAAGCTAGTTATCTATATTCTGTTCTTAAACTGTTTGTGTTTATGCAGAATAAGGAGAGGTTTTTGGTCTCTGTCCTCTTTTATGGTATTAATCTATTGTGCAGTGAAACAGCTATTGTCTCCTCCTCCAGAGTGGCTGTGTTTCTTCAGGTCATGATTTGGCTTTTGTTTTGAGATGAAATAATATAAAACTCTGTCTACCTGGTACAGCTTCCCTTGCATCCCTGTATATAGTGGAAAATAAAAATATTCTTAGTGCCATTTATTCCTGACCTCAGGCATCTTCAAATCTCCAATTAAAATTTCACCATCCATGTGTGATAATGGAGGCTTTGAAATGCACCTGGAAACATATCTCCCCTTCTTTCCATTCTTTCCTCTGACAGGATTTCAGACCTCTGGAACTACATCTGTTGTGAGTTACCTTTCCCTATCATACTTTTTATTGTACAAATGTTCAAAAAACTACCTAGTTGTTTGCTTAGATCTTGTAACCAAAACAAGGCCCCATCCTCTCCTCTTTCACTGCTCGTGCCTATAATTTCTTCTCAAGCTGAATGCTGAATGGGGCTAAAGCCAGCGTACTATTATGTTTGGAACCAGGTTCAATCCAGGAAAATTATACAAATGAACCTGGGAAATAAGCTGCAGCTTGAAAAAGTAATAAAGCATGTTACAGTGCTCATATGTAACTGGAGATGGAGGAGTCGCTTCCAGAACAGGGACTGGAAAGGACATACTGGCACCTGTGTAATTTCTGAACTACTGAAGAAAAATTCTTTCCTCTCTGTCTTGGCAAGCCCAGAGATCAGATGAGATGCTGCAGCCTGGCCAAAAGAGAGACTGCTCTGGCACTACAGAAAACTCTTCTATAGCCAATTCTTCCTGTGCTAGTAGCTCTTCTTACCACCTCAAAAATGCTCCCTGAAACACCAGCCCAAGGTCAGTTTCTACAATTTGATGAAACGTCTGTCACCACCATGAAAACAATTCAAGCAAAAGAGCGTGATGAGACACCTCACAGCACTGGGCCACCAAAGAGTAACCCTGCTCTAGGCTGGCAGCACACATTCAGGTCGCTGTATCAGGGCATGGTGATTCTGAAGGGCACTGAATGCTCTTTCCCAAAGCTCCCTGAGAAAACTAGGTCCCAGTGTTTGGGAATTGTCTTGAAATTCCCCATTAAACATCCCTGTAAATTGAAACATTTGGTCTGTGGTCCGTTCCCATTTACTAATCCCACCTAGAAGCCTTCTTGTCTACAAAACTGGCAGACACACGCAGCCGTCCACCAGGAAGCAGGTGAAACCAACAAACTTGATAACTCCCAGCACTAGCCCACACTGTTTTTCCTCTGTTAAAAACAGGACTGTCAAAGTATTTAGAGATCTGAAAGAGGCTGACCTCTAAGCATACAATCCAATACTACTGATTCACAATCCAAATTATAAATAGTTTTTTACAAATTTTACCCATTCCTCGATTTGTCAGAAATATCACCTCATTTCTTAAATAAGACACTATATTTGAAAATCAGTCCATCCCTTCTGGCCCTCACTGCTGTCCTGCAACTCATGTGTCATCACCACAGCCCACTTACCAATGTCCTTCACACCAGTGAGACATCTCTGGTCATGAAGAACTGCACTCCTTCCTACTGCTCCCTGTCAGAATGCTGAACCAGTCAGGTTTAAGGAAATCACTGCAAAACTGTAGAAGTTTAAGTCAGAAACTGAACTCCCAAAAAGCCAATCATATGGAAAATGTTCTGGTTTTTTTTTTTTTTAAAAAAGAAGGGGGGAAGATTCCTGTGATTTTCCTCAAACATTTTCCAAAGTCAGTTTTTCTCCAAATATAATCCAAAACTTCATCTGGAAGGTGTGTGTTTATTCCAATCCAGGCAGACTTTGGGGAAATGCATAAAACTGTATCACAAATGTTTTTGATTAGAAAAACAACTCCAATCTAGCTTGTTATCTGAAAATAGGCGTAGTCAAGCTTCTGTAATGGGAAAATGGTTGCATTCTGTATCAGGTCAAAACAAAAAATGTACCCAAGTTAAAGTCTGACTTGATTTTTGAAACTTTTAATTTTAAAGCTATTTGGAAGAGCCAAAAGAATAATGGAGCACTTGTAAGAAGAAATAAAAAAAAAATATCAGTGCCAAATACACTGGGAAGGGAAATATAATGGAAAAAGTGTATCTCTGAAATAGACTTTTGAGGTGACGGCCTGAAGATCAGGTCCAATATGGGAATTAGTTACCCAGCACTTCAACCCTGAGTGCTGAAGTGAAAGGTACTGGTTCCTAAAGGGGAGTTCAGAACCTCTTGTTCTGTGTTCAGATTTCCTATACAGAGCATGGGAAAAATTAGGCA